GAGTTTTCCATCTTTCGTGTGTGGGGGATAACTTGGCATGTGGTACTTGGTTATATTCAGCAACTTCCTCTTCTGTTACTCTTCCTCAGCACATAGGCTTTTGTCAAGCTTGAGCAATGTAGAAGTTCTTTTTTTTTTTTTTCAGTGTACGGTACGGATTGTTCAGAAAACATTCACTTCTATATAGGTTGTGCATTGCAAGCTGACATGGCAGATTGAAAGCAGCTGTTCCAGCTGTCTGTTCTCTGGAGAATCATGCTGGCTTTTCAAGCAGAGTTTACAACCACTAGTAATACCTGAAAAATTGTATAGTTACTAGTTGGCATTAGAATAACTCAAAGATCTGTCCAGAGATATTGTATCAGTCCCATAAAGAGAGAAGCTGCTTGAGACTTGGCTGATCTAATACTCTGCTTCTTATTTTGCAGCATTGTAGCCTTCAGAAAGGCCAACAAGGTGGGAGTTTTCATCAAGGTCACTCCACAGAAAGAAGAGGGCGAAGTGACCGTGAGCTTTAAAATGAAGCATGAGTTTAAAAATCTGGCCGCTCCAATCCGCCCCAGTGAGGAAGGCGATCAGAGTTCTGAGGTCATCTGGCTCACTCATCATGTGGAGCTCAGCCTTGGCCCACTGCTCCCATAATGGCTTCCAACAGCTGGATCCATAAAGGTGGCCACGGGATAGACTCTTTTGCCATGACAGAATGCATCCTGTTGAAATCGTTTGTGAAACCTCCTTTGTGATGTGTACACACACCACAAATTCCAGCCAAGAAATGAGGAGGAGGTTGCACGAGTCGGGGGAGCTGGAGGGGAAGGTAACTCTGTTGTTGGATGATTTGTTCTGTAATGCCCGCTATGTGAATCTGTGGCTTTCTCACAACACCACATGCTTGTTTAACTTACAGCACAAAGAAGGCCCTCTCTAGACCTTATCCCTTGCTGAAGTCACATTAGCATTACCAACAAAAAACCCCAAACCCTTACGCTGGCTTTCCTCTTCTCCACATCAGTCCCATGAAGCCAATATTTAAATACTCAACAAAACAAATCCTTTCTCTGGTGGAGCCTGGTGTTCATGAGCAAACATGCCAGGGCTGTGGCCCTGTCTTTTCAGTTACAATAACCATCTGTTGCAGCAGCATGATACCCTCTTACTTGCTTTCCATCCCCTATTAGAATCTCATTAGTTTAAAATTTCCTTTAGCCCATGTACTCAAAGGTGTAACTGGTTTTTACTCCCCCTTTATGAAAAAGAACGCTTTGCTCTGTACAGCTTGTTTGGGAGGCAATGGATCTTAAGAATGTATTTGCTCCTAGTGTTGAAATATGGTCTCCTGTAGCTCTTGTGGGCTTGGCTTATAATTTATATCATTTTAAGCCTTTTTTGTGGGAAAGTGTAGGTTATTATGCATGGTACTGTAGGACTTGGGAGGACCAATAATAGGTCACTGAAGTGAACATGCTGCTGCTTCAGTTTTTATTGAGGCTAGGACACTACTGAGTGCAATTTTTGCATTCCATAAATTATTTTTAGTGAATGGTGAAATCAACCAAAGAATATGACAGCTCAGATTATTTCAATACACACACAGCCTTTAAGGGTTCAGGAGTGTGCTCAGTGTGTTTACTAGTGACTTGGGGGGGGGGGGGGGAGTTGTGGGCTCCTTGAGCAGAAAAAACTTAAAGGCTTATCTTAACCCTCCGCACTTCAGGAGTATATGCCATAACATAAGCATAACTTACGTGCTACCATAAGGCTTATTTTGGCCATAAGTCAGATCTAAAACCAGTTACAAACAGCATGTCCATGACTCTGATTGTAACATGCCACCACTACCACTAACTACCGTATTATAGTGCAACCAGTGCAGAATTTCTCTTCCTACAAAGATTTTTTTTCAGTTGCTCTTGGTTAAAAGCGGTGACTTTTGTGAAACATCTCCCTGAATGAACAGTAAATGCAGACTACAAAAATCTTTATCTTGGGGCTTTGACATGCAACCTGAAGATAACCAAGTGGCCTTCAAGCCCTTCCAGATATGCTCTGTTTAGTTAAATAAGGAACTTGTGTAGTGTATATGACTCTGCTGTTCTGTAATGTAAGATGTGTGGCATCTGGGAAAGGAGAAAAATGCATAGTTTTATCTTAGTCAAATATTAATATAATGAATGGATTGGGTTATCATGGCATACAGGAAGTTCTACCCTTTTTATGTCCAGAGGGAGTCAAATTGATCTGTATCCTGTTTGACAGCCTTTGGGAAGGAGCTGCACCTTATCTGCTCATTTGTGTAATGGATATCACAGCAGAGAGGGGCTTAATGTTTACAAATTTGCGTAGATGATACACAGATGTACAGCATGAGTTTAAGTGTAGCCAGTATTTATTCATAAATGTATAGTGTTAATAAGTGTCTGCTACTGTCTTATGTAACCAAGTAACACTTAAGCTTTGAGTTTTCTTCAGTAGCCAAAGTAACTGGCAAACTATCAACACTATCTATCAAAAACCATCTTTTCCAAACTAGCTTTTGGCTGGCTGCCTGGCTGGCTATTTTCAAACTGGTTAATTCACCACTTGTAGCTGAGTTTAGAGCTGGGCTGTCGCTCTACTGAACTACACAAGAAAGGTTCTTTAGCACCTAGTTATTGTTTTACAAAAATCAGATGTACTCTGGTGCTCTGAATTGCTACCTTGAAAAGTAAAGGGCACATTGGCTTTGAATGACTTAACTAGTCCAGAGAATTTCTTTTCCCTTCAAAGCTTATAGGATATAGGAGTAACTTTAGCTGTTTTCTGTGCATATTTGTGCAAAACATCTCACTTGTTCCAGTCGAGAACAATGGCAGCACTCTGCCTTTACCAATGTTAACTCCATTAATGACAGATTATTGTTGCTTTATAGCTTAATTTATGTGGTGAACTTAAAATAAATAAAGCAGACAAAGCTGGCTTTTTTTATCTTGTGCAATAATAGTACTTAAAGTGCAGTAAAATATTAATGCTCAATGTGCATATGAGGTAGGGATCATTCCATTAATCAGTTACATTAGGGCTAAATTTCAGCCAGAGTTGAGGACTTCTCTAAGACTGTAAAAGTGTCACCGGAAGAGCTGGAATCAAGAGCTCCTGATTGGAAATCCCATCCTTGCTACCGGATTATGCTGTCACTCAGCTGTTTGTAATGGACTTCAGTATTTTTTTCACATGAACTATTCCCAAACCAGTTTAAAATAGTGACATTGTAAACATGTAATTGCACTTCTGCCACTCTCTATCTTTATCTCTACACTATCCAAGAAGTATAAATCTCTCACACAGGTGGGTAATATCTGAAATCCTGTATTTTAGCAATTTAGCCCTTAAGTTTAGCTATGGACTCAAAATAGGACTTCACAGATGACCAGCTGTATTGGGTTTAAAATTTTCTCAGCTTTAAGAGAGAGCTGGCCATGTACACTCTGTATAACTGACTGCAGAAGGATACCAGCACAAGGTACCTCTAGTTCTTTCATTCTATCAAAACAAGAATATAAAAGATCATTTAGAAACAAGTTTGTGATGGACAGGAGCACAGACTTAAGATGTTTTAGGGTTCCTTAACTCTCCATTTCCATAATTTCAACTGTTTGAATCTTTCAAAGTTTTGCCTTTATTTAAAATTTCCAAGCTCTCAATAAAATTTTATTAAAACTAACAATACCAAGGTATGTTCTTTAAACTGATATGCAGCTTCTACTTTAGCTCCAGTTTATTGAAGATTTTGGCTGGAAATACTTTTTGATTTTGGTTGTAATTATGAGGGGAAAATTGAGGTTATCCCACTTCATTCTTGAACGTAACAACATAAGAATGTCCATACTGCGTCAGGCCACTGGTCACCTAGCCCACTAGCCTGCCTTCTGACAGAGGCTGGTGCCAGATGCTTCAGAAGGAATTAACAGGACAGGGCAATTATCAAGTGATCCATCCCGTGTTGTCCAGTCCCAGTATCTTGCAGTCCAAAGCTTAGGGACATCAGAGCATATGGTTGCATCCTTGACCATCTTAAGTCAATCAGTGGCTGTTAGCTATCTTCCATGAACTTCTCTAATTCTTTTTTGAACTCAGTTATACTTTTGGCATTTACAACATCCCGTGGCAATGAGTTCCACAGATTGATTGTATGCTGTTTGAATAAGTACTTATGTTTGTTTTAAACCTGCTGCCTATTAATTTCATTGGATTGCCCCTGGTTCTTGTGCTATGTGAAGGGATAAATAACACTTCCTTACTCTCTTTCTCCACATCATTCATGGTTTTGTAGACCTGTATCATATTCCCCCCTACACACACACACACTCCTCTCTTTTCCAAGCTGAATAGTCCCAGTGGGGGGTTTCAAAGAACTACAGTGACTCCAAGATCTTTCTTGAGTGATAACAGTGAATTTAGACCCCATTATTTTGTATGTGTAGCTGGCATTGTTTTCCAATGTGCATTATTTTGCATTTATCAACACTGAATGTCGTCTGCTATTTTGTTGTACAGTTGCTCAGTTTTGAGAGATCCCTTTGTAATGCTTTGCAGTCTGCTTTGCACTTAACTCTTGAGTAATTTTGTATCTTCTGCAACCTTTGTCACATCACTGTTTACCCCCTTTTCCAGATTATTTATTAATGTGTTGAACAGCACTGGTCCCCATACAACTCCCTGAGGGGGGGTGGGAGGGGCTCTGCTATTTACCTCTCTCCATTCTGAAAACTGACCATTTATTCCTACCCTTTATTTCCTGTCTTTTAACCAGTTACAGATCTATGAGAGGATCTTCCCTCTTATCCTATGACTGCTTATTATGCTTAAGACCCTTTGATGAGGTACCTTGTCAAAAGCTTTTCTTGGGTTCCTTTATAAATGTATATTACACCTTAATGGATAGCAGTACATCTGATAAACTTTATTCAAACTTACATGTTCAGATTTCTTAATTTGCTTAAACAGTCCATTTACAATCCTACCTTGATCATAGCCTTCAGTAAGTATGTGGTAGCACAATGACTCCTTTAAAGTCCTTTAACTCATCTGCTTCTGCAAAAGGTTTTGATGCATCTGACTGTGGTTTGAATGCCATAGACAGGAGTGCTGTAAAGCAGAAAAAAGTCCTTGTGGTGTTTTCTAAGATTCACAAAAAACTATCTGTGGCTTATAATATCAACTGGACTCCCGGCAGAACTAAAAGTGCTGTAAACAATATGGCAACTGTTGAACCTGCATTTGAGCACGAGAGATTGTGGTTCTTGGCACCAGTGTGTCCAGCCCAAGAGCAAAGGTTTTTCACAATGGCTAGAACTTCTACAGTCTGTTTATGGATCACAACTGTTACTGGATAAAAAAACCTATCCCCCCACAATGAAATTAATGGACCCTTGAAAACAGAGGCCCTACACCCACAGTGCTAATGCTAGCATGGTGTCTGGCAGTTCCAGAGTGGTATTTGACAGCATCAGATGAAGAGTTATCACACACACAAACCACACTGCATCCCCATCATGCAGCGCAGGAAGGGCTGGTGCTAATGGCTCTGCTAACAGACCAGGTCCATTCGTGGACACCACAGGTCTCAGAGCAGAGAAGGGCAGAGCTCATGCTGTGCTCCAGGGCGTGTGGCAGTGTCCTCGTCATCCTAGATTTCGCCAGGAGTCTTCTTCCATAATAAAGTGGGAAGTCTCCCCTCTCCCTCCCCGGGGGGCGTTTCCCCCACCCAGCCCCAGGGCGGGATTCTCTCACCCCCTCCCCGGGGGGGCCGTTTCCCCCACCCAGCCCCAGGGCGGGATTCTCTCACCCCCTCCCCGAGGGAGGGGGCGTTTCCCCCAGGGCGGGATTCTCTCACCTCCTCCGGGGGGGGGGGGGCGTTTCCCCCACCCACCCCCAGGTCGAGGTTCTCATCCCCCTCCCCGCGGGGGCCGTTTCCCCCACCCAGCCCCAGGGCGGGATTCTCTCACCCCATTCCGGGAGGGGGGGGGCGTTTCCCCCACCCAGCCCCAGGGCGGGATTCTCTCACCCCCTCCCCGGGGGGGCCGTTTCCCCCACCCAGCCCCAGGGCGGGATTCTCTCACCCCCTCCCCGAGGGAGGGGGCGTTCCCCAGGGCGGGATTCTCTCACCCCTCCGGGGGGGGGGCGTTTCCCCCACCCACCCCCAGGTCGAGGTTCTCATCCCCCTCCCCGCGGGGGCCGTTTCCCCCACCCAGCCCCAGGGCGGGATTCTCTCACCCCATTCCGGGGGGGGCCGTTTCCCCCACCCAGCCCCAGGGCGGGATTCTCTCACCCCCTCCCCGGGGGGGCCGTTTCCCCCACCCAGCCCCAGGGCGGGATTCTCTCACCCCCTCCCCGAGGGAGGGGGCGTTTCCCCCAGGGCGGGATTCTCTCACCTCCTCCCCCGGGGGGGGGGGCGATTCCCCCAGGGCGAGATTCTCACCCCCCCTCCCCCGGACAGGGGCGCCACTGGCAGCTCTGGTCCCCTCCCCCGAGATGAATTAAAGGGCCAGACGCCCCCACCCTCCCGCTCTCTATGGTTCAGCGGCGGCTAGAGGGGACGCCGGCAGGCGGCAGCGCGCCAGTTGCCCGAGGGTCATGCCGGGGTCACGGCCTTTCTTCCTTTCGCGGTGCATGCCGGGCCGCTGGCGGAGCGGCGCGCGCGCGCTTCCGTCCGGGCCTTGCGGCTGCGGCCACCGGGGCTGGTTCCAAGATGGCGACGTCCCTGGGCTCCAACACCTACAACCGGCAGAACTGGGAGGACGCGGTAAGGCCCGGCCGGGGCCTGCGGGGCGAGGCTCCCCGGTGGGGGTGAGGGGCCGCCACCCTCCCGCTGTGGGTTTAGCCTCCCTCGGCGGCCCGGCCGGGCCCAGGGAGCCTGGCGGTGGCGGGGGTCCGCCCGGGGCCGGGGTTGAAGGGCGTGTGGGCGGCTGAGGCGGGGGCTGTGGGTTGGGAGGCTCTCGGCCAGGGGCTCTCTCCCGAGGCGGGTGCCGGGCCTTGCTCCCTGTCTGGGGCCGCTGGGCGCTGACCCCGTGTAAATGACGGGCACGGGCACAGTCCACGGCCTCCCCCGGGGTTGCTGGTGTCTAATCTGGGCTCCTGACCAGGTGGGATCTTACCACGTATTTGGGAGTGTTCTGCTTTTTAAATACAAATAACGGGCAGCGGGTGTGTGGCTCTTCACAAGGCTTCAGCTAGGAGCTGGTTGGGACGTGTTGGGGGCCTTTGTCGTGTCCCCCCCCCCCCCCCCACACACACTTTGGGTAGTCAGAGCTTTAAATTAGTCCAGCACCAGTCCAGCATCTCTGATCTGAGAGACGCAGACTGCGGAAATGTTGCTGCTGAACAGAGGCCTAATCTGAAGTGAGTTCTGAGATTTAGTCCTGACTGTTTTTTTCCCCCCCTCCTTGATGCAGGACTTCCCCATTCTGTGTCAGACATGCCTTGGAGAAAACCCCTATATCAGAATGGTATGTGACTGCTTCGAGTCATTGTCCTTTAAGGTGTATGGTGAGACTAGCTATTGAACCGCTGGTTTAGGGGACTAAAAATGAGCTCAGACAAATGAGACAAGTAGGAGATGCCAAAATGCATACCTACAGGCTTCTGTGTGCTGCTTCTTGGCAGCAGAACATGCATGCATAGGGGAAGAGGGCTACATTTCGGTATTGGCCAAGGGTATGGGGAACACGATAAAACAAATCAAACAATCAAAAACTTGAGCTGAAATCAAGACCGCTTGTCTCATGGTTAAATCATAAGAGATGGGGTAAACATGGATTCTGTCACAACTTTTGATGATGACTCTCTTCTTGACTTAGAGAAATGTGATGTACTGAAAGGCTAAATGACTTGCCCAATCTTTAAAATGTGCTTTGAAAAGTGCTTTGATATCATTTGATGAAGATTGCTTGAATGGCCTTTAAATCCTTGTTGTTTTACCCAGTGCATTGACCTCTTCAGTGGAAGGCTGTGTACGTGTCACCATTCCATTTTGTTTTACCTTTCCCAACACCAAGTACAATCATGTAGTGTATTCTCATTTTAAACATCCACCTTTCTCCACTCTTCTCTCCCTAAGCACATTTTAGTCTATGCAATTCTAATGAGCTATAATATTTTATGCAAATATCATCTGTGTTTCAAAGATTGATAGAGGATTTATTTTTGTGTGTTACGAATCTCTGGATGTTTTGTCATTGTTTAGAAAACGGATATTAAAAAGTCGAAGCTGAGGGGTTTCTTGAAAGATTTAAAAATATTCTATTGAATATTCTACCATCAGAAAAAGTGGAAGGGTTTGGAAGTGATTTCCTCCCACTTACCTTTCAAAGGGTGTCCAGATTAAGTGAAAGCCATAGGATCAGACATCTCCAAATGCAACCGTCACAGAGAGAAAATATGCAGATGCTATGGTGGTACCACATGTGGATGGTTGGGTGGAAGAGATGAAAGCAGGGGAGTATTTTCTAAGTCATGTAATGTATGATCATAGCATTGACGAGTAGCTTGTGGGCTTTTTTAGTAACTTTCATTTGATTTTATTCCAGACCAAAGAGAAATATGGAAAAGAATGCAAGGTATGTTTGTCTTCATTGTAAGAGTTGACTTCTGGACTAGCTCATTAGTTTCCATTTAGAATTAAGACATAATGCTGAAAATATCAGCTTCAAACAATTGCTTATTTTTGTTAACACTTTAAGGGGTGGATTTTGCAAACTCTTTGAGCATGTGAATGCCCTGTTGCCTACAAATACTTGACAACAGTTAGCTACTGGTGTGCTCACTGCTTATCATGCTGACCAATGTTGTCACATTGTTTCCTTGTATACTCCCCCATCTCTCTGTATCCATCTGTAGTCTCTTGTCTTACACTTAGATTGCAAGCTCTTTGGGGGAAGAGGCCATCTTATTTTTTTTCTGTTTCTCTGCAGCACCTAGCACAATCGGGTCCTGGTCTGTGACTAGGGCTCATAGGTGCTATAGTAATATAAATAATTAATAACTCTAGTCATGTGATTTATCCATGAAAGTCAGTGGGGCTTCTCATGTGAGTGAAGTTACAGATGATTGTACATTTTTTCAGGATTGGACCCTTAATTATTAAATCTGAAAAATGTTTAGGTTTATTTCCTTTATTTCACTATTTAGTCTGGTTATTCACTTAAAAAAAAAAGTTTGGAATTGTTCAGATTCACTTCTGCTTCTAGTCATTTTCACTCAGTCTCTTGCAAGAGCACAGTGTTCTAGGGTTTAGGTTTCAAACTCTGTAAGAGAATAATTACACCTGAACAAAAATAACCTAATCACCTAGTTATACAAATTCCTTCCCTCTCGCCCCAGGAGTGTGTGGTGTTGCTCTTTAACCCCACCCTCCTAGTGGATTCACTGAATCCAGAGGTTGGCACCAAAAGATGCAGTGTTCAGCACTCCTGATGGGAAGGTTACTGACATTACTTTTTCAGAAAGAGTAGATTGGGGTGGGGAGGGGGGGAGTAATCTCAAAGAGATTTGAACTTCAATCTGATTCTCTTCTTAGTTTGGATTTATCGGTTGCTGTTCCTCCCAAAAAAAAAAAAAATCTCATAACATGGTGGTGGTTAATGCTGGACTGGATTACTATTGAATTTATTTAATCAATCTAGCATTTTCCTGTTAAAAATTCATTTCCTCTTCACTTTTGCCTTAGCAAATGGGTGGTAGATGGAACTTGGCTTCCCTCTGGATCTCAGTAACTCCCCTGCCAGCAAGTGGTTCATGCTGGGTATCTCTGAGACAAGCCAGCCTTTGTGTTTCAAAAAGGAGAAAGCAGGAATCTTTAGTGATATCCCTTGGAAATATAAGGCAGAATGCCTTGTATTGACTCCAGTGGAGGAGTATTGTTTCCCTCTTTTCCTCCTTCCTACCATCATCTCCTTTTCGTTAGGAAACCAGAGTGATGTATTGAGAGCCAGCACCCCTTCCCCGAGTTCAGTGTACAATGGAAGTAGAAACGTCCTCCCCACAGAGACTGTATGCATTACTTCAGAGTAAGGCCACCCTTTTCTGGGCCTAAATGCCTGTGGCCAGATGGACTGGGTCTCTTGCTATCTCAGCAAGTATATAATTTGCAGACATATCTTACAAATTATCTGTAATGATCCTTTAGTATATAGGATCATTACAGCTAATTTGCAACTGATGAAGTGAGCTGTAACTCACGAAAGCTTATGCTCAAATAAATTTGTTAGTCTCTAAGGTGCCACAAGTACTCCTTTTCTTTTTTCAAGAAAAGATTGGGTTTTCTGAGTTGTTTGCTTGAATTTTTACATATTAAAGTAGTAACATTAGGCAGGTGATTAAAAGGGAGGAAGCCTCTAATAGTAGTTTAGTTTCCATAAGAATCTGAATGCTAGTGTCATTGCTGGCCGCAATTAGAGCGGTACAAGTCACTGCTCTCTTTGTCTCAGATTTGTGCCAGGCCCTTCACAGTGTTTCGCTGGTGCCCAGGTGTTCGAATGCGCTTTAAGAAGACAGAAGTGTGCCAAACATGTAGCAAGCTGAAGAATGTGTGTCAGACCTGCCTGCTTGACCTGGAATATGGTGTGTAGCTTGTCTCCTGTCTCCTCATAGTTTTAATACATCTCTAAATAAATGTGTATCTCCATGACTCTGTGTGCCTAGGGCATGGAGATGCATATTTATTTAGAGATGTTTGTATGAGAGAGAAGTTGAACAAATCTGACTGCGATCTCTTCTAGGCTATACCAGAAGGCACATATATATGCCAAATGGTGCTCCTGTCTGTGCATAAACTTTCCAGCTCATTAAAGACTAAATCGTGTCTAATAATTGAATCCATTCTAAAATAGGATCTTCCCATACACACGAGTGCTGTGATCTGATTGACTGTGTTCATACGACTGAGTTGCTATGAATTTCCAAGTGTGTTTGGACTTTGATACCCAATGAATCTTACTCTAACTGTAGAGAGGATTAGAATCTTGACATTGCATGCCTTTGTTGCTGGCAAGAGTAAATATTGTTCCGTTGGGGATGCTAGATGTAGGATGAATTATATTTGATTAACTGAATTCCCACTATTCACATATGTTTCAGTAGAATATGAGGCTTTTAAAAAACTACCATGAAACTAGACAAACTTTCAGTCTCATTCACCTTTCACAGCAGGTGAAGTAATACTATCCATAGGATATTAATTAATGCAGTGTAAAACAACGAATCAGTACAGATTTGACTGCTCTTCAGGACCCCTATCTCTGAATACAGCTACGTTAATATGTTATCATAACCGCTTTTGGGCTTTCTGCTTTCGGTTAATATTAATTTTGTTCTTCCGTTTAATTTTAGGTCTACCTATTCAGGTTCGAGATGCAGGGCTCTCTTTTAAGGATGACATGCCTAAATCTGATGTCAATAAAGAGTATTACACCCAGAACATGGAGAGAGAAGTAAGGAATGCATTTTTAACCGAATCTGTTGGTGGCTTATCTCACTTGTGCTGTAGATTAAATG